ATGTTCCGAAACTTCGGGGGTTTTCACGTGTCGGGCCCTGGGAGGCGATACTCGTTCGACACTTTTCCGATACTTGTCTGGGCGCTCGAAATTGTCTCTGGGATGAAGTCCTCAAGTACGATGAGAATGACATAAGAGAAGGGGGGAATGGAGTAGGAGAGGGAGGAGAGCCTCTGACAGCCCCGGCATGAGGCCAGGACAGGCCTGCCAGAGCCAGGGCAAACAAATCACGAGCACGAGAAAGAGGAAAGAAGGAAGACCTCCCTCCGTCCGTCCTCTCACATAGTCTCTCACGCTCGTTGCGCTTCCCCTCCCCTCCCTCTCCTTCGCGATGCTCTCAGGATGTCTGGCAAGCGGCGGTGATCCATCCTTCCCGGCCGCGCGCCTTTGTCTCCTCGCTCCCACGTCGTTCTCCTCCTGCTGGTGGTGCCGTTGGCATGCGCCGCTGCAGAAGTTACAATCTCTGAGGACGACGGCGACGGCGACGACGACGACGACGACGACGGCGACGACGACGACGACGACGGCGACGACAGCTCTCCTCAGCTTCGCAGAGGCCGCTACAGTATCAGGGTGCGGCCCGCCCCCTCGCCCCCTCGAGCCGCCGGCTGGGTGGAACGCCAGGCGTCGGCGCCCGTCCTGTCCTGCCACCCCGGGGGACCGATCTTCGGAAAACATCGGGAGCCTTGAGACTCCTCCTCCTCCTCATCCTCCTCCTCCTCCTCCTCCACGGGTGAGTGCAAACGGGGGTCAGCCAGGGCGCTGGATCCTGCAGGATCCTGCGAAGACCCCCTCTGCCTGACCCGGGTTAGCGAGCCGCTCGTGGCCGCGGGGCGGCCGCGCCTGTTGGCTGACCCGGGTTCGCGAAGACCTGCGTTGCAGTTTTTTGTCCTGCGTTGCAGTGTTTGGTTTCTTGCTGGCCTGGGTCTGGATTGACCCGGGTCAGAAGATCCCCGAGAGGGGAGCTTGTCCGTGTCCGTGTCCGTGTCCGCCGCCGCCGGCGTCTCCGAGGAGGGGATTTTGCTACATGCTTCCGCCGCCCGGGGGACCGATCTTCGGGGACCTCGGCAGGCGGTGGACCCAGGCCCCCTCGAGGCATGAAGCAGGAGGGGAAAAAGCACACAGACGCATTTTCTCGTCGATTCCGAAGAAAATATGGGAAACTATGGGAAGTGGGGGGGGAAGACAGACACCCAGAAAATATGGGAAAATGTGGCGAATCACCTTTTTTTATGTGTGTCTACTTGTTTGTGTCCCAGGGCCCCCTCAATGAAGCAGATCACGACGGGGAGGTGCTTCGCTGTGTTCGGCCTCTGGGCGCCCTGGCCTCCTGCTCGGCCGCCGTGGCTCGTCCAGGCCTGGCGCGCGGCTCTCGGCACAACGCCCGAGGTGGTCGACGCAGCGTCGTCGGTGGCCCTGCGTGCTCACGGTTTTGATGCTGGCGTCGACTCGTGGAGGAAGCACCTGTCATCGGCAGCAAATCTTCAGAGCCCCGAATCGTCAGGGGTAACTCGGGTCAGGCGGGTTCGTTTTTTCGGGATTCCGAACCCGACTCACCCCGGTTCCGACTTACCCCGCATAATTCGGGCGTCCAGAGCCCCAAATCATCAGGGGTATCTCGGGTCAGGGCTAACCCGGGTTGGTTTTTCGGGAATCCAAACCCGAATCACCCCGGACCCGAGTTACCCCGGATAGTTCGGGCGCCCAAAATCTTTGGAGCCTACTTAGTAGATTCTCGTTCATTCTTTGGCGTCGGCGAGCGTCGATTTGCATGTGGTATTCGATGAGATAGCACCGGTGCAGTGTCGATTCGCATCGATTGGCGTAGATCTGCGTCGAATAACGTCGATTCCCAAAGGCCAACAGGATGGTGTGGGAGGGTCCCATGAGTTGGCGCCGAAGTTTGGATGCTTGTTCGTTGCTTGGCGACATCCGAACCGTGCCCCCGCCGATCAACCTTTCAGGCAGCCCGATGGGCGGCGTGGGTAGGGTTCGGAGTTCGTCGAACACGTGGCGAAGTCCGAACCCCGCTCTCGCATCCCATCGATTCAGGAGAATCGATGGTTGGTGGGATCTGGGTTCGGATGGCACCACCTACTCGAGTCGACGACGGTCACGTGGAGGACGCGTGCAATCTGCTGCGCTTCGGACGCATCCCCGCCTCGCCGCGGCAAGACTGCCGCGCCCGCCAACCGACCGCCCCGGCACTCCCCAGGGCTGCTCTCGCCGCCGCCGCTGCACGCTGCCGCCGCCGGTGTCCTGCCATGTCGCCGCCGCCCGCGGCCGCCGACTACCGCTGCTCGACGACGTCGTCGTCGTCGTTCGTCGTCGTCGTTCGTCGTCGTCGTTGTGATGGACGTCGTCGTCGACGTCGTCGACGGCGTGGTGGTGGTCGTCGTCGTCGTGATGGACGTCGTCGTCGACGTCGTCGACGGCGTGGTCATCGTCGTCGTCGTCGTCGTTGTCGGCGGCGACGTGCCTGTCCTCCCAGCCCCCCCAGGGCTGCTCTCGCAAGCGCGCGGCCAAGCCGCGCCGCCGCAGCCCCAGCAGGCCGCGTGGCAGCTCGGCGGGCGGCGCT